TTAGTATAATTGCTAATAAAATCACCTCTAGTAAAAGTGAACGTCACATAGCACCATTTTTGAAAATGGTGCTAATGAATGATATATTGAATGAGTGTAAGCTAGTGTATCGGACCACATCAATGAGTGCACCATTGTAGCACTAATACGGTTCTATAGAATGATTGCATAAAGAAAGACAAGATTATTTTTTAGAAATAGTGAACAGTGAACAGACTCAGCAGGCAGGTCAAGGGTTAAATGGCTAATATTTTCCAAATGCAGAACCTCTGACTTAATACACAGAAGCAAATCCGAGATATATAGGTTAATATCATTCTTTTTTTAGGTTTGGCCAAAACTAGGCTTAAGTTTCTGGCGGCCGCCTTGTTCAACACACCCGCCGATATCTTTAGCATAAGCATTGGTTAGATACTTGCCTTTATAAATGCCTCTGGCTGGTTCTAGCTTGACCTTCTCTATACTACTTATTATTACGAGGATTTCTGGATTAAAAACGGCTTTCTTAGCTAATTGAGAACGACTCGTTCCTCTCTCCATTAGAACTAACTAACTAACTAGATATATATAAATGATTTCAATAAATAGTCAATAAATAGTTTATGATTGTAATATTGAGTTCGCTATAATTGAATATTGTGTTTCTAACTGATTGTTATTATTTTAGGTTATCTTTTGATTGTATAGTAACAAATATTGTATAAAAATTCAAATATTTTGATTGTATATAATATTTATTATAATTAATTATTTTGTATTAATTTGTAACTCATTATAATGTTATCAGCATTGAAAAGCAAAAATCATATATGAAGTCAAATATATATTTTTTGTTTCTAAAATATTAATTAATAATGTGAAATAATATAAATCAAACATATTGAAAGCAACACCAATTTAATTAACCCAAATACATGATTCACATATATCACAAAGATAGAAAAATATTTCAAAAACTTTATTCTGCTACATGTACTCGTACGTTACAAATAAATGTGATTTAAGGTAAGCTCACAAATTTTTATCTTGTCAAATTGTAATGAGTCACCTGTCAAAATGAAGAATCCTTTGGAAATTCGAAAATCGAGTAAAAAATTTTTTCCATTTTCGTTACCGATTTAGATTCAACGTGACCATAAAACTTTCTCTTCGCTAATACTTAAATTAGGTCAATTTACTAACAGAGGAAATCGATTTTTTTATGACATGTTTTCCTCTGGCAGTTTCCACATGGTAGCAGGATTCGTTGAAGTTCTGGTAATATTTGATGTTTTAAGTTGTGTACTTTTCGGTAACGACGTTTGGCATTGCTAGAAAAATGACTCAAAATAAGCAAAACAAATAAAAACGGATTTTTTATCTGTCGTCATGCTGGCTGCATTTGTACAGTTAAAGGACGAACATAGTTTTTCGATGTTGTTTTCTAACTCAAAATTTTGGTATAAGCAATTCCGAAACAAGTTTTTTCATCTCAAGATGAAAATATTACTTCAAAATTTTTTCCACAAACATTAATCGCTGTGTTTGGATGAGATTTAAAGAGCAAAAAGTTTCTGACATATTCTTTACGATTTTATTATTGAGTGCCAATAAAAATTTGTTAGCGGACTTTGAGGAGATATTATAAAAACAAATTTTAAACTTACATCAATAAAACAATGAATATTTAAAACAAGAATTTAAAAAATATTATTTAAAAAATAAAATTATTCATTTAAACGTATATAAAAATAGATAATAGATAGATAGATTGATAGATAGATAGATAGATAGATAGATAGATAGATAGATAGATAGATAGATAGATAGATAGATAGATAGATAGATAGATAGATAGATAGATAGATAGATAGATAGATAGATAGATAAAAAATAATAATAAAAATATAAAATAGTTAGTGTAAGAAATGAGTTAAATTACTTGAATTAAATATATAAAAATTAAAAGTTGCTATATCCCAATATTACTACTGTTCGTATATAACTTCATATCAATCGTTCAATCAACAAGTGGTACACTCGTCCCCTTATGTACTTAAGCAAATGTGAAAACTGCATTTGTAGTGCGTCTTGAAGTGCATTTTGACTTACTATACTTCACTTCACCTGTAATTTCATTTGAAATGTTTGAAATTTCCTCATTTGTTACATACAAATTTACTTTTTTTTGTTTTTCTGCTAGATTTTTAAAAGTCATAAATTACAAGAAAGCACTTAACTAGCCGTAAAAAATTTGTTAAAAAAGACATACCAGAAATAAAACATGTCTAACATCTTTCAAACCAATGCCGAAATTGTAATTCGTGCTAAGGCCAATTTTCCACATATGAACGAACACTTGAACACTTGAAGAAAATAAGAAATTCTGAACCACATGTAAAACCTCATGACAGCCAAGAGTAATTACTGCGGATTTCTGTACATAACCTAAAACAAATGTTGAGGTTTCTTCGTTTTGTACTTCTGACCCATTTGAAAGAAATTTTAGAGTTTTTCTTTGCATATTTCTGAGATGTAATGGCAGATGTAGAAACAGTTTCTGCATTTAAATTAGATACTGTAAAAAGAGGGGAAAAATGTGTTTTTAATCATTAAAGCACAAGAAAGTAACAAAATGGATGAAAAATTTTCATGGAAAATCAACAACGTTTCTTTTAATAATATATCCAGTACTTTTTGCCTACATTAAGTGAAACAGTTTTCCCAATATCTAAATTAGTGATGCAAAACAGCATAAAATTGCAAGCTAAACTGCATTTTAATTGCAAATTTTCGCTCTTGTTTTTATTTTCTTATAAGCATTAACTTAATTAAATGGAAAAAGGTAAGTTACAAAAAAAAATAATATTCTTGCGCAGGAATTTAAATAATAATAAAAATATTGAAACAAATATTCAAAGGGAAAAAACAAAACTATTTGTTTATGTATATAAAAAAAATTTTATATATAAAAAAAAAATATGTATTTATGTAGTTAATGGTGATATGCTGGAGAATTTACTGGAAGAAATGAAAACTTTTCTGTAATGCTATTGGACAAGAGTAGAAGGTAATAATTATGTACTTTATATATAAATTTAAAGAAAGAAAATATATTTTCAAAAAAAGTTTGTTATTATTTGCTTTAAATGTAAAAAAAATTTTAATAGTAAAATAATTTGTAGCTTTTAAGTTTAACTTCAATTTATTAATTATAGTTAGGGCCATGCTATGTAGAGTAGTCATGGGATCATCAAAATTGTCTCTTTTGGACTCGGACGATAATACTCGTACATGTTATGTTGAGTGTTGCAAAAATTGTAATAATATGCCACTAAAAGACACATATCTTGACATTTATTACTGTATAACACTGCTTTGCCTATGTGACGAGGCGCAGATATCGTCGACTCTCATGACGAAATTGGAAAAATTGTTAAATTGACATATTGTTTTTTTTCTTACTCTTAATTTTATAACTTGCATTGAAAACAACAACAATTTTACTTATGACGTACCCATGACACTCTACATAATATTGCCCTTAAACTGTTAATAAAAAAAAATTATTCACGTTTTATAAACCAAAAGCTAGAAAGTCCAATAAAGCAAGAACTCTATGAAATCCGATTCGTGAAAAAAGAGTAATAAAAATATAGAAGAAAATTTATATTAAAAGAGGATTTAAGAACAGCGCAAAAAAAGTTTGAAAAACAAATGGATCAGGTTAATTGGAAACCGAGTTGTTAGAATTGACAGAACAAAGCATTGAACAAGTTAATATTTAAAGAGGAAGACACATTAAGAATGAAATAGAAGAGCCACTCTGTTGTCCGAAAACGACAGAAATTTTTAACATAACGGTGATAC